TTAGAAAGAGTAATGTTGCTCCTTTATTAATTACTATTGCATTAATGACTTATCGTCTGTGTTTTAAAAAGTCATTAAACAATAGTAACTACGTACACGCTATTTTAGCGACGGGATGTTTAGCTGTAGAATGATTGAACTTTGTCTCAGAGTTAAGCTTTGAACTTTGTAGACGTCCACAACTTTGTCAATTTACGCTGTAAATTTAGAGCGAGAAAGATCCTCCGATGCAATTCTGTATCAAACTTAATGTTGAGAATTTTCTGAACTTACTTGAAAACCTTCGTCTATTTCCACATTCGAAAAATTTCCAGTGGTAATTTAATTTGTTTAATAGTCACGAACTGCAGGCAAAGAAAGAGCAAACCCAAGATCAACAATAAAAAGTCCCAATAAAAATAGGTTCAAAATGGTTTTCAACTGACGCACGTTTCCTGCTGTGGGTGTATACTGACACTTATTTGTATGCTTCTTCCATTTTATAAAATGTTAGCTACTGAACTGACTTATGTAAACTAGCAGTGAACATGTACTACGAAATACGTAGGTGGCTAATTTATGCAGCAGGATAATATCTTTTGAGAATCTGAACGTTTATACATCCTGCCGCACCTTACTAACACTTGTCTTTATGTAGCATTGAACTTAAGTTCCCCTTGAACCTCTACCGGCGGTTTTGCGCCATCCTCTGATCTTCCTGCGACAAGCGCCCCCTGCCGATTAGTACACCCAACAAATGAGTAGGTGTACTAATTTAGAGCTTTATTATAACCACATGACCACAAACAAGTATGAACTTTGAAACGAATTTCAAAATAAAATTTACAAATTGTATCTTGCTTCTTTTGTTTTTATATTCGAACAAATCATATAAAATAAGCAAACAATGTTCTTTGTTGTCATTGCTTCCACGAACCGACACTAAGCCTAAGTAGAAAGCCTTGAAACACATTTAAATATTAAGGGTAAGAAGTGGCCACTAAGAATGTTAGACAATTTTTAAAATGGTGTGGAACATACAATCTGGACTGAACAGTTTTTTGACTGAATAAAGATTAATTACAATCAGAGCTTGTTTAACGTATAGTTTATAATCCACTTTGGTGTTTCTCCAGAGAGATAAGTTGTGTGAATAACAAAACAAGGATAATGTTTCTTACGTCATCGACTGTTACTCATAGTGACAAGAGACGCCTTTCATTCAGTCACTAGATATTCACAACATAAATATCAAACATACAATAAAATTATGAAAGAAAATTGAGACTGTTTCCGCTCTGACTAACAAATGACAGATATTATTGCTATTCTTCTGAAAGTTATTCTACGAGTGTCCGCATCTACCAGTATTTAACCAACAATCATACTGTTACTTTCAAAATAGGATAATTGTACATATATATGCAGATATCTCTCTCGGTTATATACATATGTTGTTGTTTTCTCTCTACTTTATGCACCGTGTGTGTGAGAGATAGTTGTATATATATTCTAGTTTATACACCGTGTGAGAGAGTTATATTTATATATTCTAGTTTATACACCGTGTGAGAGAGTTATATATTCTAGTTTATACACCGTGTGAGAGAGAGTTATATTCATATGTTCTAGTTTATACACCGTGTGAGAGAGAGCTATATTTATATATTCTAGTGTATACACCGTGTGTGTGAGAGAGTTATATTTATATATTCTAGTTTATACACCGTGTGTGAGAGCTTTATTTATATATTCTAGTTTATACACCGTGTGAGAGAGAGTTATATTTATATATTCTAGTTTATACACCGTGTGTGAGAGAGAAAGTTATAATACACCGTGTTATATTTATGTATTCTGGGTTTTGGATTTTATAGGAATTTTATTATATTGCGTACATAATTTCATAAATTGGCTTGAGGAGAAATGTTCTTGTAGCAAAATGATTTCTTTGGTTGATAATGCCAAAGAGTCAATATTTCGTATATTTGACAGATAAAGCTAAAGTCAGTATTTCGTACATTGGTGTCAAATTTTTTGAAAAACCAAAGTAGTTTAGAGTTTAACGAAATTTTTGAAACTTACCAATGTTTAGAATCAGCATACAAAAACTTGTTTTCTTCATTATGTATGAAGGCCATTCAAGTTTGCTATATTCAAGCGTTTGTTCTTCTACATATTTTTAGGTATTTTTTGTGTCTAATAAAAGCGGTGTATTAGCATATCCTTACTTTGTTCTTCTTTAAGTTCTTTAGGCATAATAAATACAGGACGTTGAATCGATTAAGAGTATATTTTTGTCCCCGATGGGACAGCGGTATGTCTACGGAGTTGCAACACTAAAATCTGGGGTTCGATTCCCCGTGGTGGACACGGCAGATGGCCTACTGTGGCTTTGCTATAATAAACAAAGAAACAAATATATCTTTATTGAATTTTGCAGACATTGTATACTCTGATGTGTATTAAAAGCACAGAAACATATTTTCTGGGTATTGATGTATTTAAGAGTAAAATACCTTTTACAGAAAATAAAAACGCACGTTCTAATTCGAGTTTTCAATATTAATGGACATTGAATATATATATTTAATAAATTGGGATTTCTATAATATGGGTCTAATAGTTTTCGTAAACACATTGTGATGTTTTACCTTTCTGAACGTTGTTTGGCCCGGCATGGCCTGGTGTTTAGGGCGCTCGACACGCAATCTGCGAGTCGTGGGTTCGAATCCCCGTCACACCCAATATGCTCGCCCTTTCAACCGTGAAGGCGTTATAATGTGATGGTCAATCCCACTATTCATTGGTAAAAGAGTAGCCCAAGAGTTGGCGGTGGGTGGTGACGACTAGCCGCCTTCCCTCTAGTCTTACACTGCTAAATTAGGGATGGCTAGCGCAGATAGCCCTCCTGTAGCTTTGTGCGAAATTCATAACAAACCATAACTGAACGCTGTTTCGTCTCACTAGTTAAGTTTTTGAAAGACCATATTTCATATTTTTCTTTATTTACAACATACTTGCTTTCCCTAAATAAGCTAAAAAGAATCTTCCCTGGCTTCTACAGCATGTTGTTTCTTAAGTCATGAGTAATTAAAGGCTTTTACAATTATCGAAACTATAAACTTCCACTGACGGTTTGTCACTTTGACTTTATAAGTCATAGAAGTTCTGTTATAGATAGTAGAAACTGAGGAAAGTTATATATACATATAACTCACGTTATATTGTTATTATTATTTTTATTAATTCGTAATTCCTATAGATTGAGCATACATTTTCAGTTCTTCATATGAAATATTTGTCATGAGTATTGTTGACGTAGAGACTTAGCACTGTACTATTGAATTCTTTGCTCTCATGTGTTGTAAGAAAGGTGCTAACATTCCTCACATTTGCGTCACAGGTAATAGTTACTTCGTGATTATAGATTACCTCAAAATCTGCAGCATGTCTTAGATGATATTTACCAGCTGTGGCTAAGTTGCCTTCTACTTTTGGACTATAGGAACTAATAGTCTCACAAATAAGTAGTCATTTTCTTTCAAGTTCGATAGTTTTTTTTTATTGTTATAAAACTTCTTTTCCTTGAATTAACACTTTTCTCTACACAATTAGATGTTTTGAACGTATTATGTCACTTAAAGTTTAGATAGATAGATCCACACTGGTGTTTGGTACAACTACTAACTCACATTTTAGAACCTCAATGACAGAAAAACAATCCTTTTGTTATAATTGTAGAATATTTAAGTCTCTCTTTTTCTTTTATAAATGTATATAAGCTTGAGTCAGAGTTCCGAGAGCCACAGATAACATTTGATGTTTGTTTGTAATTAAGCACAAAGCTACACAATGAGCTATCTGTGCTCTGTCCACCACGCACGGGTTTCGAAACCGGGATTCCAGCGTTGTGAGTTTGCAGACGTCCTTCTGCTGTGCCACTAGAGGGCCACATTTCATGAATAAAACTATGAACCAAACATGTGTTGAAGAAATTTTTATATTGATTTATACTTACCGTAGTAGTTCAGTTTCTGGGTGAATGAAAATAGATAGTTGAATGTGTGAAAGTTTGTCTAAACATATTATTGAATAAATGGAGGGATTAGTTTACAATTGAATAAACTGAAAAGTGAATAGGAGTACAAGATTAAATAAGGACAGGAATATAGAGTAAAGAAATGAATGTGAATGTGAGTGAAAAACGACTGGATGGATAGGTGATGTAAAGGTAAGCATGCGAAAAAGATGATATTGAGAAGTATCCTTATCAGATCTTTAAAAAACAAAAGTTATTCATTGTATTCTCTTCCTATATTAAAGCGCTGTAACGGCTATGATACAAAAGGTATAGGTAGAAAACGTATGAGTTCAAACCTAATTATGTAAATATTTCAAGGGAGAGAAAGCTTACTAACGATGCATTCGTATGTAATTCATTTTAAACAAAATCAGCATTTCTGAAAATTTCGAATACACCTTATTGGATTCATTTGCAAATATTAAGGTACTGTTGTATTTTTAGAAATATATTAATGTTTTGGATGTGTAAATTTAAATGCAAGGATGTAGAGTTGAAATGGGGTGTTTATAATAATTCTAGAAGTGTTTTTATTCATTGGACAACCACACCTGCATTACTGAACTACCTTTTCAAAAGATTTCGAACTGATAAATACTATTCGATATCGTACGTGATTGCAAATGTTCCATAAATTCTTAGTACTTCAAATTAAAAAAAAGAAAATCAGACTTCATTTGTTAGACAGTTTCTTAGTTAATTTGTTATTACTAAGGAAACTGAGGCCAAAATAATGTTCAGAGTAAATTTATACACGAACATGTTATTCATAGGTTTAAGGAAAATATTTATTCGGGATAGTTATAAAAACGACTTGCATCATTTCCGAGAGGGCGCCACTAGTAGAGTCATAAAAGACCAGTAATATAAGGAAATTTTCAATCCAACCTGCGACTCTATCCTCTAACTACTCTGTTACAGGTTTACACCTCACGAGATGTGGAAGCTGTTGTTTTTCTTGCAATGCTTGTATGTAACTGGGGATTGCTTAACAAAGGTGCTGGTAAGTGTCCATTTTACAAAGGTGCTGGTAAGTGTCCATTTTACAGCATTTCAAAGCTCATTTAGTAATTTTATTTACAATAACGAGCTTGCGAACTCAACTAAAACTTAAGTAATAAATAGATAACATAAAAAATATAAAACATACATCCTAAACTTCCATTTGCTATCATATCTTATTACGTTTTGTATGTTTCTAAATATGTTTCAACCTGCGCCACTGACGCCACATGCTGTATGAAAAGTTGAACTAAAAGTGTAATCATTTCCTTTGGTGTACCGAATTTCCTGTGATTTAGTTCTCTAATATAAAATCTTAAAATCGCTACTTGGACGGATTAATTGTTGCTGTAATTAAAACAAGGATCATTTTATTATGATTCTTTGCTTAGAGATCATTAAGGCACTGCTATGAAATGTAGGGTCCGATTGCAATTAAGTTACAGAAAAAAAATTTTTTTTACATGTAACAGATATTAATCAAAATACTTTTCATGAAGAGTTTTCCGTTATAAGCATTTATATTTTTTTATTTTGCTTATAAAAACCAAACCAATATCATGTTTTAAGGACTCACCTAGAGTTTCAGTATAGCCAATGGTAGTTAAATCTGCATTTTAAGTCATTATTTTCAGTTTTCCTAGGTACTTGTGTAATGTTTGCAATCAAGACGAATATTCTGTTGTCGAAAGTAATCAATCTATATTTTTAGTGACGTGACATTTTCATTGATATTTCTTGGTAGCCGCAACCAATCTTCGGTTATAGCAGGTAGAGTTATTCAGCATTTTTACCTGTGGCACTCTTTGTGGTCAGAACATAAAATTTTATTCAGCATTTCTCGTCTTTTATAAATAGAGAAATAACATTTTGATTACATGGAATCATAAGTTATAAAAGTTAGACCTTTAACAACTTGTTTATGTTTGACGCCAGTTGATGGCTAAGTTTCGTTTATGAAATTATAAAACATTCATTTAGAAAAAAGTATTTTTGTTAAAGTTTACAGATTTCCTGATAAAAATAACAAATATACATATTTATTGGTTATTCCAGTAGCATGTTGTTTTTTAAACTCAAATTCATCATTACTTGTAAATAAAAAACCATGTTTGTTTTTTGAATTTCATCAGTTGGACAAATATACTGAAAGTTATGAAAACAGAACAAGATATTTTTATGTTTCAAAACATGTATATTATAAAGTGGTATATTTTGGAGTTTAGTATGACCAACAGGTGTCTGAAAATTTGAAAGTACATATGATTGTGATATCTGAAAACAACAACTGAAAGAAAGTTCTGTCGAATAATGTCTAAGCGATAGACAAACTTGTAACGATAAACCACTCCTTGAACAAACTTGTAACGATAAACCACTCCTTGAACAAACTTGTAACGATAAACCACTACTTGAACAAACTTGTAACGATAAACCACTACTTGAACAAACTTGTAACGATAAACCACTACTTGAACAAACTTGTAACGATAAACCACTACTTGCGTGAAGAAAGTGACTCGTTTATTCCCTCCTATGAAGAGAAAAATTAAATTGAATCCGAAAATGTAAACATTTTACAACAATCGGGACAGTTTATTTGATTTTTTGAGCAAAACCACATTGGGCTATTTGCTGTGCCCACTGCGGGGAATTGAACATCATATTTTAGCGTTGTAAATCCGTAAAATAACCACTATTCTACAGGGAGACCACCGGGACAGATAAAAATATTTATTCATTCACAAACGAACAGACAGACGGAAAAATAATTGAACCTTTCTTGTTTGTTTGTTTGAAGTTAAGCACAAAGCTACACAAAGGCCTATCTATGTTATGCCCACCACAAGTATCGAAACTCACTAGGTGGAGGACTTCCTCAATTGTTGAATAACACCCATGAATTAGCATACTGGACTGTGGATCCGAATTCGCACTCCGTTACAACCCAAAATAATCGCGCTCCGCACTTTAGAGCCGTGGGTGCTTATAAAAATGACAGTTGAATCCCACTGTTCGATTATGGTAGCCCACGATTTGGCGGTAGCTAGTGTTGACTAGCTGCCTTCTCTTTAGTCTCTCTTCGGGTAGTTTTGTACGAAGAATCAACAAAATATAATGACTTAATTTTGGTGCAAAGTTGGAGGACTGTGAATATTAAAAATTGATTTATTATATTTCAAATCCAAAATATGTATTGCATATTTACACGAGAGCGCCCTGCAGGTGCTCGAACACGTGCATTCTTCAGATTTTCACTTTAAGATTCTGATAAATATACGTCAGTGAAAACTTACTTCAAAATAACACTTCTCTTAAGAATAAATACATATATTATTCCTAGTAAATTATTTCAGCGCCATGTGGTGGAAATTGAAAATCTATTGTCTCTACTGATTCAACTCTTAAAAACAACGGTTTGAAGTTATTCAAGTGAAGTATCTCCTTAAACCACGCTCTCTCTACTTGAATTTTGTGTAAAAACGTAAACTCAGACCACTTGCACGTGTCTTTTGGTTAGCTTTCGGGGGAATATGGTTTTATACTTCATTAACCATAAAATTAAAAGCGATAAGGTGAAGCTCGATCATTAATCTCGAGACCACCGCCAGAGGAAAGATGTTTGAGTACTTTGATCAATTAGCAAGGATATAAATAGAAAGGTCTACACAGTAAACACGATTGTCGCGTGAATCAAAGAGTAACGTTATACACATTGAGCACGTTACCCCCTCTAAACGTTTACAAATCAATAGAGCTTATATTATGTTCATTTTAGAATGTCAGTGTTATTAATCTTAATTCTGGGAACACTTGGTAAAGTATTATGAACCAGAAAAAAAATAGTAACTGCTAAATTAACAGTTGAATATGGATATTCAATCGTCATAACTGTTTCTTTATGAGAACCTCATTTTAATATAATCGTGAAAATAATGGTGCAATGAAAGGAAACTGAAACATAGATTAGTAAAGCAATAAAATTTGCTGGTTCAAATATATAAGATGAAATAAACTAATTTACTAATGCGTACATGATACTGTACAAATCCTGTCTGACTAGATATATCAGCTTCGTTTTGAAACTTCAAAGTTTACATCTGGTTTTCAAGTCTCAGACTTTGCTTCTGGCTTTAGTTTAACTCAATGGCACATGCTCGTATTTTTTTTTTTATTATTCATTACAGTTTAGTTTTTGTGTTTTATAGATGCAAGGAAATGGCCAACTGCGTACCTCTCATCTGGTTTATGATTGTGCGGGCCTCATGAAAAGGGGCCGTTTCTTGCTCGATACTTTAATATTCAACTCACTACGTTTTTGTTATTACTCTGTTATCGTTCAAGGGTGACACCTACGCATGCATGAAGCAGGCAATCCTAGTCGTTATTAGATTGACATCAAAAAATAAATTATGTACTTAATGCAAATATATAAAACTTATCACATCACTATTAATTGTTCGACAATGAAATCGACAGTAGCCTGTGGAACGTTATTCTTGTAAAAACTAACATAGAATAGGTAGAGGGTACAAAATCCTGAACTTTCAGTTTTAACTGACAGTAGTAGAAACATATATTTCATCTTAACGCACAGATTTCTATTCTTTCAAAGCTAGAATGGGTTTAGGTTATTATAAGTATTTGCTCATATTGTGTAACAAGCTCATAAAATAACTCGCTAAGAATGAGCGGCGAACCTTGAAATAAACAGAAAGCAAGACATAGGTTTTCTTAAGTAGCTTCAGATACTATCTTTATGAAAAAGAGAAAAAAAAAGTTGCATATGTAATATTGATTAAATTCGGCTGGAGGTAATAGTCCCCAGCTGGAATAGAATTATTGTGTGTGTATATATATAATAATCAGGTCTTAATTTTACAGTTTTCTGATTACTTTGTTGTTTCTTATTCTGTTAATAGTAAACTTGCAAACAAAAATTTAAATTTTAAATATTACATCTCTTTCAAATTGTTCAAGTTGCCCCTGGCTCCCTTTTATACATTTAATTGTGTGTTATTTTATGGTGTATGATTACTGACAAATTATTAATTTTCTTCTAATAAGTTTTATATCAGACTTATTTAAGAGCAACCCTTAAATATGAAGCCGTGATTTATCTTGGTTGATTAATTCTTTTTTAGTGTTGCTGGAAATAATAGTAAAGAACTCGTATTTTACTCATTTAACAATTCGTATGAACGACTCACAATTTACAAAAGCTGTCAAGTGAATTGCTTTGTATAACTGTTGTGCGAACCATGCACGCCCATTCAGGTGAGATAAGGTCATGGAAAAGATAGAATTTCAAAGGATCAGCTATCCTGCTGTTGTAACAAGGTATCTTATTAACCTATTAACCCAGAAGTTCTTGAGCTATAGACCCGAACCCATTCATCATCATGTTGCAAGAAATGTTATTCTTTGCTGCAGATAAAGTAGCAGTATCTTTTGGATTGTTAAAAACCAGCTGGTGAACACACTTTGGACCTGTGTCCTTGGATGGACTTCCGTTCATTATGACATATATTGTTTAGTTCGTGACACGCCATGTTATAAGGAAATCCTGAGGTAATCTTTTATCCACGTTGGGATAAAGTTCATTTTTATATCCATCATAAAAGATAATGTAGTCTTGTGAGAACGGAAATTTAAGTAATTTTATACACAGAGAACTGAAGCATTCACTCCTGAAATAATTTGTTAACCCCTCTCGGAAAAGTACTTTTATACTGAGGGACTTGTTACATTCACTCTCGAAATAACTTGTTCAAAACACGAAGTGTAGTAGAATGTGCAACAACATAATGTGTTATAGTATTTTGGCACTTGTGTATAAAGTTAAAATCATAAATATAATTCAACGTTAAACTGGTACATAATTAAAAACATTTTATTTACGATTATCTATGGCTTTCAAAAAGTTGACGACTCTACATGTTTCGACGTTACAACGTCATCCAGAGTCGTCAACTGTTTGAAGGCCATAGATAAGCCTAAATAAAATGTTTTTAATTGTGTACCAGTTTAACGTTGAATTATATTTATGATTTTAACATAATGTGTACCAGAATATGAAATGCTGTGTAATAATGATAAATTCAACAGACCCCCCAGTAGCACAGCGGTATGTCTGCGGACTTACAACGCTAGAATCCGGGTTTCGATACCCGTGGTGAGCAGAGCACAGATAGCCCATTGTGTAGCTTTGTGCTTAATTACAAAAATAAACAAATAAAATAAATTCAACAGTTGATTTCTTTCGTACTACACTATTTCAAAATGTCTTAATTGCATTCCTTACCAAATTTACTTAGTAGATATTTTAATGAATATTAACAATAGATATATAGATAGAAAATTATAAATTATAAAAAACTGCAATTAAGATGGATTAAATATAATTTTTAAAACATTTCCAATGAAAGTGGTGTAAACAAGCTAAAAATACTCTTTGATTATAATTAAAGTCCAAACATAAAAATTCTATATCTCTTCATTTGTGAATTATATTTCATGGCAAAAATTTGTCATATGGAAAATTACAAAAAAAAAGCATTTAGATATGTTGATATACTTTCAACTCGAAATGGTCTAATAATACCTATTATAATTAAAAGTTATCCAACTGAACTTAAAAAATCACAGAAACGAGTAAGCCAACATTTGATAAAGTACATCGTAATAACATAACAGAGAACAAATTGGCATGCAACTGTGACACAATAAGATATACAAATATCTGTTGCAAAAGACTAGCATCGGCCTAGTGAATAGCATGTCGGGTTGCGGAGCAAAAGGATCTAGGCTAGAGGCCTGACGTTGATGTCTGTGCTCCTAACATTTAGTACTAGAAGCGTTATAAAAGTGATAGAGAAAGCTTTTGTGGCGGCAGGTGCTGCTGGTTGACTGTCTTATCTCTCTCTCAGGTCAGAGGTTAAAATTAGGAATAGCTATATCTGAGTCATAGAAGTAACTATGTGCATTATGTTGAAAGTATAATTGTTTTACGGAATGCGGAATTCAGTTTTACAACCTTTCCACGTGTACACATAATTTACAATTATTCGCAAGATTTTGTAGATGTTCGTTGAATTTCGCGCAAAGCTACTCAACGACTATCTGTGTTAGCTGTCCCTAATTTTGAAATGATAAACGAGATAGAAAGCAGCTAGTCAACACCACCCACCACGAACTTTTGGGCTACTTTTTTCTATGAAAAATGAGATTGACCATCACACTATAATGTCCCAACGGTTGAGAGGACTAGCATGTACGATAACGAGATTCGAGCTCACAACCCCGTAGATTGTCAGGCCATGGCCGGCAAGCAAGTTTACAAGAAAATTATATACAATAATTTCAAATTAGTCTTACTTGTATTTTAAGTAGAATCATTAAACTGATCATTTTACACTGCATTAATTGCAGAGATGTAATATATTTCTTGGAATAAACTTCGGTTTGAATCGTTTGAAAATACACTTAAAACATATATTTTTGATTTTCTTAATTGAACGCCTTTTCAATAATTTAATTATTGTAAACGTACAGTTATACATTACTGCTGTTTATATGGTTAATTATAAATGATATCTTTTTGTATATTATCGTAGATAAAGTCAGTGACTTCATGACTTTAAGACTAAACAATCAATATGTAACTCCTTCCTTTTCAAAGCCTGGCAGTTTGTCCAAACTACAACTAAAACATTTTGTTGGAAAATCCCTTTTAATTATTGTCTTTCATTTCCTTTTCCTCTGGTTCCCAGGAGCTCAGTGGTAAGTCTAAGGACTTATAATGCTAAAAATCGTATTTAACTAACCACGGTGAGCAAAGCACAGACAGACCCTTATTATGAACAAAAATAAAGCAATCCTTTTCTGTGTTTGTATAGTATACTTTTATCATATGTATTTATATATATAACACTTCCACTGTGGTCTGGTAATATAATCTGCCTGTTTATTTAACATATATACAACATTATTGTTTATATGGCACACTTTTACTAAGTGTGTATATAATTTACAGTCTTCGTGATTATTCACATATACACCTGGAAAAAAGTTAAGCACCCCCGTGTTTTTTTCAAGTGATT